ATTGCTTTGAGATTTCTTTTAAATAGCTGGATATACAGAAGCAAATGCAGACTATGCATTCTTCATTGTCATGGGATCGAGGATCAAATGAAATCATTTAAAAAAACATGAGCATGCCATTAATGATTTCCAATATACTGCAAAATATTAAGATTCCTAGAATTTAAATCTGCTTGAAATATGGAGACCTTATAGTGCTCTTGTTGAGGGGGAACCATTTCAGACTTCTAGGAACTGTATACTTATGTAATCTTATGTATACTTATGAGCCGAGGTGGCGCAGCAGTTAGAGTGAAGTACTGCAGGCCACTTTAGATGACTGTGTTCAGCAGGTCAGCAGTTCAAATCTCACCAGCTCAAGGTTGACTCAGCCTTCCATCCTTCCGAGGTAGGTAAAATGAGGACCCAGATTGTTGGGGGCAATGTAAATATATATACATTGCTTACTGGTGTACACCGCTTAGAGAGTGCTTGCACTTAAAGCGGTATATAAGTCTCATAAAATAAATAAATAAATAAATAAATGATCACCATGTCAGATCAATAAATAAACATAGCTTTTCCCTCCCATTACAAAACAAGCATAATTAAGTAATCAGGCAATAGAGGCAGATGTTGATTATCTTAAAATGCACATAGGAGTTAATTAGTTGCTATTTTAAAGCATCTGTATAGAAAGCAAGTTGCATAATAATTTCAGTAAAAAATAAGTTATGGAAAGAGAAGATGCTTTTGAACAAAATATTCCAGTTTAACTTATTCATTACGAAATATGTTCTGTTTAATCCTCATATAATTAGAGTTTTGTCTTCAATGGAATGGAATAAACTGTAAATACTTAACTGACCATTTATCAACATAAATAAAAGTGAAAAGATCAGTTTTATGTGGAAGATTGTCAGTATGATAAAACTTTCCTTTTTGACCCATTCTTCCATGGATCTGGCATATGTGGAACCTCTAATGCAGCATGTGTCTATATTTCATTAATGATATACATCCATATTTTAATTTATGCATTTTAATTATATAGCAAAGATTGATGGAATCAAAATGATCAAGTGCAGGCTTTAAAATAGCAATCAGCAGGTTCAATCATGTTTTTTTAAATGAAAATCAGGATAACAAAAGAAAAATTAATTATTTCGTTAAATAAACAGGAATTTAAATTATGGGGTTAACAGCCATCAATGGGCAATCAAATGTATCATAGCCATTTGCATTTTTGACATGAAATATTAAAAGCTCAAGATACCCAAATTTAAATGGCTTTCTAGAGAATCCCTTGGATACTTACTGAGAAATCAAGTCAATTGGTTCTGTGGAATTTTATTTCTAATACATGTGATATATAGCTCCAGAGCTTTACATGGCTAGAAACAGACTTCAGCAAAATCGTAAAATATATTAGAAGAGAAAGGATATTGCTTTGAGATTTCTTTTAATAGGAAGTCATATAAAAGTGGTATAAATAAGTAAACTACTGGAGGGAACAATTATATGGAAATCTCAGAAAGCTGACCCTATTCCTTTCCCAATTAGCAGTATATAATGACATTTTTTTTGTCTGTGTTACAAATACCAAAGTAGGTTACAGGAACATTGCATCAGAGATTAAATGAAAGAATGGTACAAAGTGAATTAATATGACAGGAAAAAAGATTCTGGTTTTAAATGCATATGCACCCATACAGTTGCTATGATAATCAGCAGTTAATTCAAGGTCAATTGATAGCAGCAGACAAGGAATGCAAGCCAAAACAGAGTCCCTGAAAGGAGACTGCCCAAAAGGTAGTTTTTAACTGGGGCATGCAGAAGAATAGTGAAAATACAGCCCAAAGTTCTAAGAATGAAGTCAGAATTGTCAGCCAGTCCAGAAGTCAGAATTTCACAAACAGAGACCAAACAAACATCACACAAGAGCCAGAAATCAGATGGCTAGTTTCAACAAAGGAATATGAATCAGGGCTGTCTCTTAAATCAGTCTGCAGCCAGCTGTCTTCAATCATGGGATTTACTCCCTTGCTTGTCAAGCAGCCTCGGAATATCTTTGCTCTGCTCTTTGTTCTACTAGCTGAGTACCAGGTGTATCATCATTATCTGATTGTTCCAGTTGTGGTACCTGTGTGTGATCAGTCTCAGGATATTCTTGGCTTTTTGTTTCCTGATGCTAACATTCGATAGTTCTGCTGCAGATTCTTCACATTCAGAATCATTTTAATAGAAGTTTTTATTTATTTATTTTGTATATGGCATCTACAGAAGTCATGCAATCACTGATATACAAATTTAGTTTAAATAAAGCATCAGCAAATACATGATAAGGATAGATTCAATAAGAGCCCATCAATATATTATGTATATATGTACTATATCTGGATAGCAGAAATTTCCAAATTATGTATCACTAGGAAGAAGGAAAAGGAAGATTTTATGGATGCAGAAAATTATTGCTCCAATAGAGTCAATTAGTTCTGCTTTTGAAACAGGACATTTCAGTAATTGTTTAAGTTTTCAGAGTTTGAATTTATTTTAATGAATGGGTATAATATAGATGGTACTTGGCTCAATAGTAGTAACTTTGAGAGGGATCTTGGAGTCTTAGTGAACAATCACTTAAATATGAGCCAGCAGTGTGCTGCAGCTGCCAAAAAAAACCAACACAGTGCTAGGCTGCATTAATAGAGGGATAGAATCAAGATCACATAAAATGTTAATAGCACTTTACAATGCCTCGGTAAGGCCACACTTGGAATACTGCATCCAGTTTTGGTCACCACGATGTAAAAAAGAGGTTGAGATTCTAGAAAGAGTACAGAGAAGAGCAACAAAGATGATTAGGGGACTGGAGGCTAAAACATATAAAGAATGGTTGCTGGAATTGGGTAAGTCTAGTTTAATGAAGAGGAGGACAAGGGTGACAGGATCCAATATCTTGGGGGTTGCCACAAAGAAGAGGGAGTCAAGCTATTCTCCAAAGCACCTGAAGGCAAGACAAGAAGCAATGGATGGAAACTAACCAAAGAGAGAAGAAACCTAGAACTAAGGAGAAATTTCCTGACAGAACAATTAATCAGTGGAACAACTTGCCTCCAGAAGTTGTGAATGCTCCAATACTGGAAGTTTTTAAGAAGAGACTGGGCAACCATTTGTCTGAAATGGTATAGGGTTTCTTGCCTGAGCGGATTATGAGATCTCCAAGGTCCATTCCATCATCATCATCATCATCATCATCATCATCATCATCATCATCATTATATTATGTGGCAGAAAAATAAAACAGAATAATTACAAAATTCTAAACATGCGAGATTCATTGTATGAATCCATCAGAAACCATCCAGCAGTACAGTATAGTTATGCTGAATGTGGAAAAAATTCTAAAAGCCTTTTCATGAAACTTTACTAAAATATTAAAAGATAAATAACTGTACAAAAAGATGATTGAACTAAATTGATTCACTTACCAAGTTTCTTCCTAGTCTAAAAGGTTATGATTTTTAGCACAGATCCTTAAGGGCAAAGAATATATTGCATTGTTTCTAAGAAATATACATGCTTGTTATGCTCTTATTCATACATAAATTGATGCTTTACTTTGTACCCATTTATATAACCTCATTCAGATATTGTTATAACCTAACATCTGTACAGAGATAAAAAAAAGAGTGATGGAGCTCTAGGTGATGATGGATCTATAGTGTTTCTCCCGTACCTTTCTATTTGCAGAGAAAGTCTTAAATCCTAACCGTATTCAGATGTAGTTTCATTCCATAATCTAGGTAATCTAGATTCAGACTGCCCTAACACAGATGTCGGGGCCAGATTGAACAAGTCTTACTGTCAGTTCTATTAACGTTGGATGAATGACAACTGATAAAAATGCAGCCATTTTCTCTATTCCTTTAACATGCTTTCTTGCTTTTAGAAATCAGGTGCAGCGAGGGAGGGGGTTGGGATGTAAGCTCAGCTAGCCATAATAATAATGCTACCATGGGAAACCAAGGACAAGCTGATAACATTTTAGTGAGCTGAGGAGAAAGCCTGAGCTTTAAGTTAATTGGAGAATGTGATTCATGACAGTTTCTTGGGGGTGGAAATTGTACTTTATTACTTTGTATCTGGGGGAAGGGAATTTAGTTTTTGGGTTCAGCTATGTAGTATTGATACTTTGTATCCTGAATAAATGTTCTGTAAGGAAGAATTTTGCCTCAAAGGTCTTCTGATGGGTTTCATCTATTGCAGTGTTTCTCAACCTTGACAATTTTAAGGCACGTGGACTTCAACTCCCAGAATTCCACAGCCAGCATTGCTGGCTGTGGAATTCTGGGAGTTGAAGTCCACATACCTTAAAATTGTCAAGGTTGAGAAACAATGATCTATCGGAACCATGACATTTACCTTCACACAGGACTAATAATAACTGAATAGAAGTTATGGTACAATCTTTCATTGATTTTTCAGTGCTTTAGACACTTCAAATTTTTCTGGTTTAGACACTAAGGTTATTCTTTTGATTATACTAATAGAACACAATTATTCTACAATTTACCTCAGCAGTAAAAATATGCAAAATGGGAGGCTGTGCACTTCATGGGACTTTATGAGGTCTTATATTGCCTGCGCATTCATCACAAGCTGCATCCAACCAACCAGTCAAGAATTTGGGGACAATAATACTGATATCTGGCAAATGGCAACCCCACCTACCTACATTAATAATACTTTAACAAGCCAGTCCCTTGAGGCAGGAATGCAGGAAGGCAAGAAGAAGGACAGTGATTTATTGAAGACTGATGCCAAGAAATACAGCCACAAAATACTGTTTTAAGTATTTAAAACTTAAATACTTTACTTATTGTGTTTTACTTATTGTGTTTCTGTTCAAGGTAGGCTATTAAATAAATGATACAATAAAAATGGAATGAAAAAAGATAAATGAAATAAAAAAATAATATTGCATCTAGAAAGTGGTTTTAGAAATCACTGCCTATGTAAAAATGTGTCCTAAAGTAAGTCTGGTAACCTCTCTAAGCTGTTTCACTAATCAGAGTAACCATTAGCCTTGCCTCAGATAGAATCAAAGAAATTCTGCAGTAATGGAATTACCATATGACATTACATCCTGGAATTCATATTATAGGCTTAAAACCACTGAAAACATGAATATCTACTTTGATGATTGTGGTTGTAAAGGACACAAGTTGCTCAAATAGAAGCACTAAGTAACAATAAGATTACTGCCAAATTATGTTCTCTAACATTATTTAAATATTTTGTATTTGTGTGGTGCTTTTTGTCAGTTTTGATTCCTGGCAACAGCCTGGACATGACCCTGAAATATTTTTTGACAGGAATTCAGAAGTGGTTTGCCATTGTTTCCTTCCTATGGTTGAGAAAGAGTGACTGACCCAAAATCACACAGGTTGCTTTTTGATCAAGGGAACAAAGAATTAGATCTCACATGCTCCTGGTTTTTAGCATCATAACTTTAACCACTATACCAGGGGTAGACCTTGGCTCTTTTATGACTCGTGGACTTCAATTCCCAGAATTCCTGAGCCAGCTATGGGAGTTGAAGTCCACGAGTCATAAAAGAGCCAAAGTTGCCTATCCCTGCACTACACCAAACTAGTTCTCATTATTAAAAATTGCAATATTAATGGAAGACAGATGGGTGACATATGTTTACGGAGTCATCCAGATGATTAGACTAGATTTTCATTTTGTCCACCTACTGAACCCTTCCCAAGGATCTGGGATAGGCAGATGTTGTGGTTTGATAGTATTTGATTATATTAAAGATATCATTGTAGATAAAGATATCAGCTTCTTTTTGCAATTGACTGCTGGTGATTTTGTCAATGTGATGCTATTCAAATAGTATCCCAGCTGTTTTGGAATTAAAAAATCAAACTGAGTTTGAGTTAATTGATCTAGCAGTTTTTCCATTTATTCAACATGTTAAAAACTATCGTGCATGGCTCAAAAATCTATCCTGTAAAAGGATCCCTGAGTGAAAATATTGTATACAAGATTACTGCTTTAATCATGAAAGATTTTGGAAATGGCATGGCCACAAATTTAAACTTATATTATTGTGCTTGTTGAATTCTATACTAGTCTTTTAGATTTAAAAGAGAAATTCAATCACTTGAGATGCAATGATACGTAAAATGCTTAGAAAAGCCTAACATAGCTAGCAACACTTCTAAGACGATTAACTGATTTCAATCATATATATGCTTGTTCCTTTTACTGCCCTTAATGTACGAACTGCTAATAGAATTGGGACCATGATCCTTGTACAGTAATATCCTGTTATTATGGTTATCCTTTTTCTATTCCTGTTGTTTTGCATTGTCATCTGCAATCTTTAAGTATGGCTGGAACAATAATTAAGCCAGGTTAATATTTCTTTAATATTCATGTATAGATTTATATCTAGTAAAATATCATATTTCTCAACCTTGACAATTTTTGTGTGGAATTCAACATCTAATATTCCTCAGCCAATATGGTTGAGAAGCACTGTTTTAGATTATCTATGGAGCATTTTTCCCACATCATTATGGTAAATAATGAATCATTCATTCATTTTGAGCTGTTCATCACACTTTATGATTTAAATGCTTTTTATTGCTGAAGAAACCTAGCAGAGACCATTTGGTTTCCATAGAAAAAGGAGTACTGTCTCTTTTTCAATTAAGGTCCATAGAACCCAAATAATTAAGATGATTGGAACACAACATACATTCCACAGTTTTTTCTGCCCTAGAACAAAAATTAATTATAAAAATAAATAAAAAACCTTGTTGCTTGTTTGTATCATTTCACTCTATGTAATAACAGCACTGTCCCTTAGTAAATAGGAAATTATGGACATTTTTTTTTATACTAATCAAGTATTATTTCATCTGTTTTTGCCCTTGCAGGATTTTGCTGAAAAAGAGAAGGCAGCAGAAAGGGCTTTGGAAGATGTGAAGGCTAACTTTTACTGTGAATTATGTGACAAGCAGTACCATAAACACCATGAATTTGACAACCACATCAATTCCTATGATCATGCACATAAGCAGGTAAACCTAAAAAGCCATGTCAAATATTTTGCTTTATTGCATCAATCCTGGCAAATCAGTCATGTAATCAGCTTGTAGGAGGTGATTACAGTGTATGTTCAAGGGCTGTTACATAACTTGTTATACTTAGACCAATTCATATAATCAGTTCAATAGTTCAGCCTAAACTTTAATAAGTTTATCGTTTACTTTTATCATAGAGAATAAAATGCAGAACAGTAAAATAAATAAACAAACAAAATGTAATAAAACAAAAACATACATTCAACCTTAACCACAACACAAAAAGGAAAAAAAATAGTGTACAAAAAAGGAGGAAAAAGTGGTCAATTAAATTTAACATTTAACATGTAGCATCCACTCTGCCTGAGTGCTAAAAGAAAAGAAAAAAGCAATAAATTCTCCTCCTCTTTTAATGTGTGTGTGTGTGTATAAAACAAAAAAGAAGAAAATGCAGTCAATGGATTGAGCTAAACATTACATTAATCTTCAAATCCCTCTGTTAACCATACGTTATTATATTTAGCATGTAAAAAGTCCACAAACTGTTTCGAGTCTCTTATAAGGTTGTCTAGTCCATTATCCCTAATCAGCATGGTTAGCTTCACCATCTCTGCTAATTCAGTCAATTTCAAAATCCATTCTTCAACAGTTGGCATCTCTTTTTCTTTCCAGTGTTTGGCAAATATAGTCCTTACAGCCATCACCATGTGAAGAAATAGCACCCCAAATTATTTTTCAATTCACTTGTCCATCATACCTAAAAGAAAAGCTTCAGGTTTCATTAATATTTGTATCTTAAATATTTTTGCATTGTCATTGTTGTTTATCCAGTATGTTTTCACATATTTGTAAGGCCACCACATAGGATAAAATAACTTGGATTTTGACTACATTTTCAGCACTTATTAGAAATGCCTTTATACATTGTTGCTAGTTTATCCGGGGTCAAGTACTAATGATACATCATTTTATAAAAGTTTTCTTTCAGACTATAATATAATGTAAATTTTAGTCCCTTCATCTATCCAGTGGTAGTCAACCTGGTCCCTACCGCCCACTAGTGGGAGTTCCAGCTTTTTTGGTGGGCGGTAGGGGTTCAATCGAGCCGTTTAAATTTTTGGATCCATTGAGCCCTCCGATCGGTTCACAGAGCTTTCCAGAAGGCGCGGGGTGTTAGCCTCAGCTGTGCGATCCCCCACGGAGCTCTCGGAGGCCAGAGAGCCTCGCTGAAGCGCGCCATCATCGCGAGGCTCCCGTCAACTTTCTCGACGATCCGGATCGCAGCAGAGGCTGCGCAACAAGATAAAACTGCAAGTGCCTCATTTTTGGCTTTGGGGGGTGGAAATTAAAGGCACAACGAACAACAAGCTTCCTCTTAGAGCCCCTCATGGCTGGGAAGGCCCAGCCGAAATACAAGCGGCCGCTAATTTTGGTGCGGCCGCCATTTTGAGAGCCGCACAGAGCCCTCAGTCATAGAGGTTTCAGGCATCTCTGAAAAAAAAAACCAGGCTCTCTCTTCATCCTGCTGTGACAGGCACAGATCGGGGGCAAACCAGACTCCACTGGGCATTCCCTCAATACCAAGGTAGAGGCCATAAAGACTTTCTCTTCATTCCTGCTTGCCCATGACAGAAAGTCGGTGGCACGGCGACCATTTTGAGAGCCACACAGAGCCCTCAGTCATAGAGGTTTCAGGCATCTCTGACAAGAACCAGGCTCTCTCTTCATCCTGCTGTGACAGGCATGGATCGGGGGCAAACCAGACTCCACTGGGCATTCCCTCAAGACCAAGGTAGAGGCCATGTCTCAAAAAAAGAAATACACTCGTGGCTATTTGCCAGAGTATCTGAAGATGGGTTTCATAGAATCTGTTGTAAATAAACAACACCCAATGTGTTTATTGTGTCATAAAACATTATCCAATGAGGCAATGAAGCCAAGTCGATTGCGAGAACATCTTTCTACAAAGCATCCAAATGATAAGGACAAGCCCATTGAATATTTTCAGGAACTATATAAAAATTTTCAAAATCGTTCAACAATCGTTGCATCATTTAAGAAACAACATGCAGCGAACGAAGATGGATTAATTTGCACTTATCGCATTTCACAATTAATTGCAAAAAGTGGTAAAAGCTATAATATTGGAGAAACAGTAATAATACCCTCTATAAAAGAATTTATTTCAACAGTAATGCATCAGGATATACCTGAAAATTTAAAAACGTTGCCCCTAAGCGATAGCACAGCAAAGCGACGAATTGATGAAATGGCAGTTAATGTTGAAAAAAAACTGATAAGTATTCTCCAAAACACTTCATTTTCTATGCAACTGGATGAGTCTACCACTGCAGATAATAATGCTTTATTGATGGCATATGTACGTTATTTTGATGAAAACAATACATTACAAGAAGAAATGCTATTCGCAATAAATCTCATTACAGATACAAGAGGATTATCTATATTTAATACTGTGAAATCATACTTTACAAAAAATAATATTCCTTTGAATAATATTGTTGCATGTGCTACTGATGGAGCACCATCAATGGTAGGTTGCTATTGTGGATTTGTTGCTTATTTGAAGGAAGAAGTGCCAAATGTTTTATGTATTCATTGTGTGGTGCACAAACAACATCTTGTAGGAAAACATCTAAGTACAACTCTTCATTCATCATTAAATATAATAATTCGAGCCATAAACAAGTTCAAATCCAAACCAAAAAATGATAGAATGTTTCGACAGCTTTGCCAGGACAATAATGAAGATTTTATTGCATTACTTTTGCACACAGAAGTTCGGTGGCTGTCAAAGGGTACATCTTTGGCTCGTTTTGTAGCATTATATGATAGTGTCATACAATTTTTTGAAAGTAATAATGAGACCAATTTGTGTCAACAGTTAAAAACAGTAAAGAATGATGCCTTTTATTTGGCAGATATTTTCAAGAGATTTCATGATGTCAATTTGCAGCTTCAGGGAGCTAATAAGACTCTTATAGGTTGCCAAAGTATTGTGTCATTATTTATTGACAAACTTGAACTACTTCATTATAATCTATTGAAGAGAGAATTTCATCAGTTTCCTGAATTATCATCTATAAAAGATGATGTAACTCCAGAGGATATTGACAGATTTAGTAGCCACCTCAACAAACTTAAATTGGACATGGAAAAACGATTTGAAGATATTTTGAAATTGAAGGTGTATGACTGGATGAAAAATCCTTTTACCGCAAATATTGAAGAGGCTGATATAACTTGCCAAGAAGAACTGTTAGAAATTAGATATGATGAAGAAAGTAAACATAAATTTGAAAGTGGTGGATATGAAAACCTATGGCAAAGTAAAAAAAATGCCTGCCTTATATCCAAATATGTGGAAAATGATATTCAGTTTATTGATACCTTTCCCTACCTCATATCTTGTGGAATCAGGCTTTAGTGCTGTTAATCATATTATGACCAAAGAAAGAAACCGCCTGAATATTTCCGAAAGAGGAGACCTTCGTTTGTTCCTTACAAAAATTGAGCCAGATATCCAGTATTTAGTTTCGCAGCATCAGCCTCAGGGATCTCATTAATAATTTAATTAATTAAATGTAATTTCATCAGACTTCCTGTTTCTACAGTGGGGCAAAAACGTATTTAGTCAGCTACCAATTGTGCAAGTTCTCCCACTTAAAAAGATGAGAGAGGCCTGTAATTGTCATCATAGGTAGACCTCAACTATGAGAGACAAAACAAGAAAACAAATCCAGACAATCACATTGTCTGATTTGGAAAGAATTTATTTGCAAATTATGGTGGAAAATAAGTATGTGGTCACCTGCAAACAAGCAAGATTTCTGGCTCTCACAGACCTGTAACTTCTTCTTTAAGAGGCTCCTCTGTCCTCCACTCATTACCTGTATTAATGGCACCTGTTTGAACTTGTTATCAGTATAAAAGACACCTGTCCACAACCTCAGTCACACTCCAAACTCCACTATGGTGAAGACCAAAGAGCTGTCAAAGGACACCAGAAACAAAATTGTAGACCTGCACCAGGCTGGGAAGACTGAATCTGCAATAGGCAAGCAGCTTGGTGTGAAGAAATCAACTGTGGGAGCAATAATTAGAAAATGGAAGACATACAAGACCACTGATAATCTCCCTCGATCTGAGGCTCCACGCAAGATCTCACCCCGTGGGGTCAACATGATCACAAGAACGGTAAGCAAAAATCCCAGAACCACACGGGGACCTAGTGAATGACCTGCAGAGAGCTGGGACCAACGTAACAAAGGCAACCATCAGTAACACACTACGCTGCCAGGGACTCAGATCCTGCAGTGCCAGAAGTGTCCCCCTGCTTAAGCCAGTACATGTCCGGGCCCGTCTGAAGTTTGCTAGAGAGCATTTGGATGATCCAGAAGAGGATTGGGAGAATGTCATATGGTCAGATGAAACCAAAGTAGAACTGTTTGGTAGAAACACAACTCGTCGTGTTTGGTAAGTAATTATTATTATATGCTTTAACTTGCTATAACTCTGCTTTATAAATTTTATAAAGTAAAATTATTTTCCTACTTTATAAATCACCATTACTGTGGAACCGGTGGGCGGTTAGAAAATTTTACTACTAACAGAGATACAAAAGTGGGCGGTAGGTATAAAAAGGTTGACTACCCCTGATCTATACATTCTCTCATTTATCTAACATTATATTATACCCACAATTTTTGCCCATTTTACCATACATTCTTTAATATATTCATATTCTAGATTCATCTTGAATAGCATTTATATACTTTAAAAATTGTCATCTTCAGAACATAAGTTAACATCCAATTCAGATTTAGTTCCTGTGAAAATAAAACCTTTTTTTATCAAGTTTAACTATTTCAAAAATTCTATAATAATTAAACCAATCACAAGCAAATTCTTCCCTTACTAGTTGTTCTCTTGTTTTTATCTTAAATCCCTCCTTTTCGCATATCAATAAATCTCAA